TTTCTCTGTCTACGAACATCGTATTTTAGAAGTTATAAATTTTCTAAATAAATGACACAGAAAGAACTTCAGTAATATTAGACATAAAACAATCGATCGACTTTGAAGAAAAATTTTGTAAAGACGATAGCACCATATCTTTAATAAAAATTTGAAAATAAGACGTTTTTTTTTTAAATTCCTCACCTTTGTTTGATAAAGTTATTATAGACACTATGATAAGAGCCATTTTGATAGTGTAGTAAGTTTCTGAAAACATTCTAGAAACAAAGAAAAATAGCAGACCTATCACAATTTCGAATTCAGAGTATTTCAATGTGCAAAAGCGACTGAACTGAGAGGACAATCTGAAATTTTCAATCACACGCTAATGAACATCTCACAATGAGTGAATGTAAATGTTTAAATGATGGACAGTGTATGATGAATAATCAAACATCAAATTATTACTATGTCTGTACTGATTGTACGGGAGGTGAATTTTGTGAAAATATTTATTACTATGTACTCTATTTAATGTCATCATCGATGTTGATTAATACTCTTTTGGAAGAATTGGCTTCTACTAGAATCGTATTAAAGATTCTTTTTATTTTCATGTGCATCCTTCTAATCGTGTTATCGTTTATTAATAATTTGTTAACTCTTTTAACATGTTATATACAAAAAATGGTTCACCGACATTTCCGCGCGTGACATTACCGCGCCGACATTACCGCGCACGACACTTCCGCGCACGACGCTACCGCGCACGACACTACCGCGCATTGACACTACCGCGCATTGACATTATCGCGCACGACACTTCAGCGGACGACATATACGCGGAATTTTTTTTGTCTCTTTTTTATTTGATCAATAAGCTTATGGCTATTAATCAGAGAAGGTTGTTCTTTTTTTTGGTCCATTAATTTAGATGAAACCTAATGTCAGAAGGAATAATTGGATCAGATAATAATGAGCGGATCAGTATAATTGACCCATTGATGAGAATAAATAAAATGAAATTGACTAAATTTAATATATATATATATATACAAGATAAGTGTATGTCATAAGTAAAAATGTCTCTCATCAAGTCAAGTAAAGGAAATGATCAACTTCTTCTCGATGGTTTCCGTTATCGCCGAGATAATGCAGTGTGGCGCTGTGTAAAGGACAAGTGTAAAGGTCGTGCTCGTTCTGATGGAAATTCGTTTAAAATGTACCAAGATCATATATGTCAAGCGCCAGATCCGGACGAAATTGAAAAAGCTTTATATAATTATGAAATTAGGAAGAAAGCTGCCGAATGTCATGATACACCAAGATTAATAATACACGAAGCTCGACTTAAATTATCTTCAGATGCTGCTATTACTAGTCCTCAATATAATGCATCACAACGTGTTATTCAACGTATTAGAAGAGATGATAATATTCCATCAGAACCTAAAACATTCGCCGATATTGTTATTCCATTAAATTTTCAAAATACTATTACGAATCAAAAGTTTCTTTTATATGATAATAATGATGTTAATCGTCGATTATTGATATTTGCAAGCAAAGAACAATTGGATTTTTTAAATCAATGTGAAAGTTGGCATTGTGATGGTACATTTGCTGTAAGTAATTGAAATATATCCAAAATTTCAAACGAAATCTTTCATTTCTAGGTTGCTCCTAAAATGTTTGAACAAATGTACTCTATACATGGTTCAATACGTGGAACAAGCTTACCATTAGTTTACTCACTTTTACCTAACAAAGATGAAAAAGCTTATGAAGAATTATTCAAAATTGTCAAACAACATGTTACACGTAAACCAAAATACCTTTCAATCGATTTTGAAAAAGCAGCTGAAAATTCATTTGGTGTTATATATCCCGAATGTGAAATATTTGGGTGTTTTTTTCATTTCAAGCAATGTATCTGGAGACATATTTGTGTAAGTTTATTTGGTTCATAATGAGTTAT